AAAAAAATGCACAGTGTGAGTCTGGCCAGGGACGTAAGAGCTGGACTTTGAAACAGTACAGTCATAAACCAGTCTCTCTAGCAAAATATATGATGTCTGTAGCACAGAAGGCAAAAAAAAACCACTAAAACGCTCGACATGTTGGATTCCCAGCAGCAGTCATTTTTGCTCACCTGCCCATATAAGCTTCAAAATCTGCAAATGCTCCTACCTTGAACGCGGCTGCGTCGGGAGGTTGTATAAATACGATGAATGGCATGAACTCCTGTGTCCTGAGCACTGGAAGAGCCAGCGGATGTGGAGTAATCAAAGGAGTTCCAGCTCGTTGTGCATCCCGTACAGAACTTATGGCAGTTCCGTAGAGATTACCTCAAAAACGAAATTTGACAGATGAATTATGCCGCTACTGCATCTCGTAAATTACCTCGAAACTCCCCGAACTCAAGCATTTGTCCGCTGTAAATCATCTTCTCCATGACAGACCTTTCGGTAAAATAATAATCCACTCCTTCTACCTCTCCATGCCTGAGAAAGTATGATCTTAGAGCAAAATTTGCTTCAAAGATGATTTTTATGATTTGCACCCTTCCGCGCTGCAACGCGCTGCGTTCTCTAATATCGTTCTCTAATCGATAAAATCAAAATATTGATATCTTGATTCCTGACAAACTTCTTGCTTGGTTTTTTCGAATTTTTGCTTTTCATCAACACCGCGCAAACACACAAAGATGGAAAATTTTTGCTCAAAAAATCAAAGTTAAAACACGAATCAATTTTCACTGCAGCGCGTGTTCTGCAAAATTTGCAATCCTGCAAATGCTCGCGCTGACCAGGCAAGCATTAACAATCAAATAAAAAGCAACTGTCACTAATAAACGCCGCAGATAAGTACCTCTTAGCCCTTGTCGTGTGTGGAACAGTTGTTGTAAATCGCTGCGGAAATCGTGCAATGAGACGGCGCTTCAACTCATTCCTGCAAAACAATGCGACAACATGTGATGTTAGTCATAAAACTTCAAAAAGTGTTACCTGCCAACACCCGGTGGCCCAATCAAGACTACTAGGCGTGGCAGTCCGTCTCGAGGAGCAAGACGGCAAACAGATTCATATACGTACTCGGTCTAAAAGTACATAAAAGAAAACACAAAACTAAGTTTTTCACCCCAAAAAGTAGTAATCTAACTTATGAAAGTAGATTATAAGCGATAATGTTGTAGAAATACGAGACGCTGAAAATGAGAAGCACCTCATGACTGCTGCCTGAGCGACTTGATCCTCGGCCATTTGTCGGCCTTTGCTCGATCTCTGATGTACTTTTCGATAGCTGCAACGTTTCCGAAGGAATCAGCCCGATGCGGGAAGATCCTAAAACATACAAAAACTTAGCCTGACATACATTCTAATGAAGTGTGGATTATTCTTTCAGCTAGTGATCAAACCATTACCTTTGAAATCCTCGCTGTTAGCAAAAGCACCAAATCCTATTCGTCGAGCCTGAACAAAATGGATATTCTACGAAAAACAAACAGTAAAAATCCTAACCTGCCACCAGTGATCGTCATTACAAGTCTGCAGCTCCAGAATATCACCGCGAGTAAACGAAAGCGCTACTTCAGGGCATGGATGCCTTTCATCTTCTTTGCCTTTATAGTCAAACTGCAAGCAGACGCAAAGAATAGAGATTCCGCTGACTTAGAAGCAAAAAAAAAA